GCTCCGTTCGGTAATACGTGGGCCAGGATTGCTCCAACCCCAAAAGGTGAGGCATCACAAGTAATAGTTAACGGCAGAGTCTCGTTGTACTGCATAAGTACAGAATCAGAAGTTAGCAATTTCTTTACTTGTTGGAAAGCGTATTGTTCACGTTGTCCCCAAACCCATGTTGCTTTTTTGTCTAAGAGTCTATGTAATGGTTCAGCTACCATTGCTTTATTGGGTAAAAAGACGTTATAAAAATTGATAAGTCCAAGGAACGCCTGTAGATCTGCCTTGTTCCTTGGAGTGGGGGCCTTCTTAATTGCCTTTAATTTGTCCTCAGTGGGATGGATTCCTTGACTGTCCAGGAGGTATCCCAAAAACTCCACCCTTTCGGTACATAACTGGCATTTATTTTTTTTAACTTTGAGGCCTGCGTCTTGGAACCTTTGTAAGACCACTCAAAGTCGTTTTTCTAGAATGTCTCTGTTAGGGGCGGCGATGAGTACATCGTCGAAATACGGTACGACCCCTCTTATTCCTTGTAACAGCCTTTCCATTAAGCTCTGAAAGATTCCTGGAGCAACGCTCACCCCGAACTGGAGCCGGTTGCATTTAAATGCGCCCCTATGCGTGACGATAGTTTGCGCCTCCGCGGTGGCTGGATCTACAGGCAATTGTTGATACGCCTGCGCTAGGTCTAATTTAGCGAAAACTTTCCCGCCGCCCAGGGAATGGAGCAGGTGTTGCACTACCGGCACTGGATATGCACTTTGCTGAAGTGCGTGGTTTAGGGTGGCCTGGTAGTCTCCGCAAATTCTCAGTGACCCATCAGGCTTGATAGGCGTCACTATTGGGGTTTCCCACCGGGCGTGGTCGGTGGGTTCCAGCACGCCCTGCGCTATTAGCTTATCGAGTTGTTCGTCGATTTTAGGTTTCAGGGCGAACGGCACCCGACGCGGCTTAAGGCGGATGGGTGCTACCTCAGGGTTCAAGTTAAATGAGATCGGGGTCCCCTTGTACTTGCCTAGTCCGTTCGCGAAAACGTCTTGGAATTCTTTCATGAGGGCTTCCTCCCAATCGTTGCTCTTGGCACGGTGGACTCCGGCTACAGTGATTCCGAGCGGTCTGAACCATTGCAGGCCTAAAAGACTAGGCCGGTCACAGTCCACGACAGTCAGTGGCAGTGCGACGGTGCGGTCCTTGAAAGAGACCTGGAATCGGCGGGACCCGACAACGGGAATTCGGTTACCCTGGTAATCTTTGAGTATAACCCTTTGAGGGTTGAGGTCTTGGCGGCGAATCGTCGGAATGAGCTGTTGGAGCGTCTTCCAGGACACCATCGAGAGGGATGATCCTGAGTCCACCTCCATTACACAAGGTTTGTTTTCAATAGCGACCTTCACTCTGATTTTCCCGGCATCAAGGGATGTAGCGTGGCCTATGGTAATTGTCTGGTGGGTCTATTCCCGCCTGGTTTCTTCCCGCCTGGTGGAAGTGGTGGACGGTTTGTTTCTGTAGGAGTGGCTTCCCCATTGGTGATTCAGTTTGTCTCGAGGTGTGCCGAAGAATTCTGAAGACTGGCATTCGGCCTGTCGGGGTTTGGAGTTGGAGTTTTGTTTGCTTCTGCAAACCTTTGCGATGTGACCTCTTTTCCCGCAAATGCGGCAGAGTGCGTCGAGGAATTTGCAGCTGGATCGTGGGTGATTTGCTCCACATCCTGCACAAGGTCGAAATGAGCGTTGTGTGAACTGGTCTCGTTCCGTTCGGAGTTAGTTGACCTCTTCCTCATCGCTTTCTGACGGGGATTCTAGGTCTTCGTGGTGAGTCGATACCGGGTGTCTCTCTGAGCGAGGCGAGGTATCGTTGGCGAGTTGACGTAGCGGTGCGCTGGTGCGGCGCATTCGGGCTGCCGACTTTTTGGTTGCCTCCGCTGCAGTGGCTTCTTTAAGCGCATCGGTGAGGCTGATGTCCCCCTTAGCCATGATTTTGCTCTGGATCGTGCAGTCTTCTAGGCCCAGAACTAGGCGGTCTCGGAGGGCTTCTTCTAAGTTAGAGAATCCGCAGAGGCCTCCAAGGTTGCGGAGGTCTGCGACGTAGTTGGCAAGGCTTTCGCCTTTCCGTTGGTCCCTCTGGTAATATTCGTGTCTTCTGACTAAGGTTGGCACGGTGGGCGCGTAGTGGGCCCGTAGCAAAGGCTCGAGGATGTCCCAGTCCATCGCTTTTACTTCGGCTGGCTTGGCAAGTGATTTTGCCATTTTAAATACGGTAGGCCCGCAGTGGGTTAGAAATATAGCTCTTTTTTTGCTGGTTGTTGCATCTTTCAAATTGTTGGTCTCCAGAAACATCTGGAACCTATCCATGTACGACTCCCAGTCTTCGGTTTCTGGGTCGAATGGAGCGGGTGGTACGGCACCGCTGGCCATGTTGCCGTTGATAGTGCGTGTTCGACCACGTGCTCTGTTGGTTGCTCTGTAGATCAGTCAGCTCTTCGGTCTCCGTATCCCACCCTCGTCGCCAGTGTTATGTTTGGAGAATAATGGAGACCAGACATCTGACCAGTGACTTCAACTCTTTAATAACAGTAGATAGAACAGAACAGAGCAAGGCTATGGGCAGCAGTAACCCTTTTATAGGGTTGGCTGCTACCTTATTAACCAATCATATGTGCAACAAGTTCAACTAATACCCAATAAGAAGTGTCCTAATATTGGCCAATCAGGGACTTGTTATGGACCAATCCTTGTTCGTTGTTTAAGGACCAATCAGGTGTGCAGGCTTCCAAAACCTGCTTTGCATTTGGGCTATTTACTTTTTTTTAATTGATTCACAACACTTTATTTATAGGAAAAGTTCTGCATGGCCATTTGGGTACAGGAATATATGTACAAAAATTTGTTTAGTATGTACAATAATGATCATTACTAATATTAGCGTGAACAAAATTCTACTGAAACTATTTTCAGAATCCTTTTGTTGATTAGTTTATCTTTTCTCATTTTTTTCCAATTCCTTTTTTAAAAATTGTTTTGAGATAAATGTATTTGGCATTCATAGTTAACATATTGGAACTGCAACTTATTTATGAAGTTCTTGAAAAAGTTAGAAAAACTAAGATTTAGTAGAATTGTTGGATGTAAAAGTTCAGCAAAAAGATGATGGTTCATCTAATAAACATTAAAGTAAATATGCAGGTATTTCCCTGATTGGATCTGTTGTGACAAACTTTTGATTGTATATCCATTAATAATTTGGCAACTGTAAATTCAAGTATCCCATTTACAGTTCTTGTTCATTAAAAAGGTTGAAGAAAAAAACTGAAAAAGCATTTCATTAGGCAAACACAATGTTCCTGACAGTTGTAGTGCAAGAGCAGACTAAGTTATAGTGCTTACTAACTATATAGTGACCAGGGGTGGGATTAAAAAAATTTAACAACCAGTTCTGTGGTGGCTAGATGGGCGTGGCTAGGTGGGCATAGCCATGTGACTGGGTGGGTGTGGCTTCTTTGTTTTTTTGCAGCACCCTCGCCCGGTTTTTTGGGCCTTCTGGGCCTCAGAGAAGCCTCCTGGGAGGGTGTTTTTACTCCCAGAAAGCTTCCCTGGGGCTCAGGAAGAAAAAAAATGGAGATTGGAGGGGGCACACAGTACCCCCCCCCCACTCCATTTTGGGGCCTTCTGGGCCTCAGGGAGCCTCCTGGGGGTGTTTTTGGTCCCTAAAGGCTTCCAGGGGCCCAGGATGGGAAAAAACAGAGCCTGGAGGGGGCGCACAGCACACACCTCAATTTTTTGGGCCTTCTGGGCCTCAGGGAAGCCTCCTAGGGGGATGTTTTTGCTCCAGATTTCCCTGGGGCCCAGGAAGAAAAAAAATGGAGCTTGGAAGGAACGCGAAACACTCCTCATGCTCTGTTTTGTGGCCTTCTGGGTCTCAGGAAAGCCTCCAGGGGGCATTTTTGCTCCCAGGAGGCTTCACTGGGGTTCAGGAAGGAAAAAAGTGGAGCCTGGAAGGGGCACGCAGAACGCACACACCCTGGTTTTTTTGGGCGTTCTGGGCTTCAGGGAAGCCTCCTGGGGACGTTCTTGCTCCCAAAAGACATCCCTGGGGCCCAGGAAGGAAAAAAAACAAGCCTGGAGAGGGCACACAGCATCCATCATGCTCCATTTTGGGGCCTTATGGACCTCAGGGAAGCCTCCTGGGGGCGCATTTTTGCTCCCAGGAGGCTTCCCTGGGGCTCAGGAAGGCAAAAAATTGAGTGGCAGGAGCGGTGCTGCACCCCCTCCATTGTTTTGCCTTCCTGGGCCTCAGGGAAGCTTCCTGGGCAAAACAGTAACACAAGCAGCTGGCACAGCTGATCATAGGAAGAGCTGATCATGGGGGGGAGAAGAAATATCTTAAGGAGTAACTGGGTGGGGAAGAACTCAGTGATATCAGATATGCACGCAATGTTGCGCATGCACAATATGGAATGGCTGGGCAACAAGGGGAAGGACGAGAGGAGAGGGGTGAGGCCAGCCAGGGGCACGATTTGCCAGTTCTCCGAAATTGACAGAATCCTAACAACCAGTTCTATAGAACCAGTCTGAACCAATAGAATCCCACCCCTGATAGTGAAGAAAATAAAGTTTCTTGAACTCATTTAGTTATGTGTTCATATGTTGTTAAAATATTTATACTCCGATTATATTCCGACTCACCGATCTTCTATGCTATGCTAATGTGAATGACATTATACCTTACCTTCATTCTACTGTAACATTTGCAAGTATATAGTTAATACCATGCAATTTTTTTTCCAAAATTGTCTCTTTGGAAAGAAGACAGATCTCCTCCCTGCAGATTCACATAAAAGTGTTTCTGATCGCTTCAGAGCATAATGCAGAGAATAGTTAGTGATTTCAATTCATTCTTTTGAGGTTCCAAAATAAATAGGAGTGTTCTTTTCAATTGTATTTTGGGATATTACCCTTATTGGTATTTTACAATGTGTATCTTTACCTATAAATATTTCAATTTTGCAGGTTCAGAGGACTACAGGAGTAGATTCAGTGGGGAGTGTTTTATGGACCTCATCTGTCCTGAGAAATGCCGCTGTGAGGGAACATTTGTGGACTGTTCCAACCAAAAGCTTACTAGGCTTCCAAGCCACCTTCCAGAATATACCACAGATCTGTAAGTGTAATATTTTTGTAAGAATAAATATAAAATGCTTCACTATAAAAATCATTATTTTTGTGGCCCCAGCCAGATATTATCAAATACATCAATGGACAATGTTTGCTGACAGAACCTAGCTGATCTTGAAAATCTAAATTTTATTTTATTTATTTATTTATTTTGTCAATTGCTTACAAGATAATAGGTATAAGTAAAAACATAGTTATGAACACATGAATACATATAAGAAAAATAAAAAAAATAAAAGAAACAATAGGACAGGATGGTAGGCACGTTGGTATGCTTATGCATGCCCCCATACAGACCCCTACAGACTGTCAATAGTAGATAGTCTAAGGTCAAAGTTTTTGGGGTTTGGGGAAGAAACCACAGAGTCAGGGAGAGTATTCCACACATTGACCACTCTGTTGCTGAACTCATATTTCCTGCAATCAAGTTTGGTGCGATTAACCTTGAGTTTGTATCTATTGTTTGCTCTTGTGTTGTTATGGTTGAAGCTGAAGTATTCATTGACAGGTAGGACATTGCAATGTATGATTTTATATACTATACTTAGATCGGACTGTAGGCAGCGTAGTTCTAGGTTTTCTAGGTCTAGAATTTCGAGTCTGGTGGTATAAGGTATTCTACAATGAGTAGAGGAGTGGAGAACTTTTCTTGTGAAATATTTCTGGACTTTCTCAACTGTGTTAATATCAGATACGTAATGTGGGTTCCAGACTGATGAGCTGTATTTGAGTATTGGTCTAGCAAATGTTTTGTATGCTCTAGTTAGTAGAGTGATATTACCGGAGAAAAAGCTATGTAAGATTAGGTTAACAACTATTAACGCCTTTTTGGCTATGTAGTTACAATGGGCTCTAGCACTTAGGTCATTTGAGATGAGTACTCCAAGATCCTTGACAGAGTTTGGATCATCAACAAGGTCTTGCCTATTCAGCCTGTATTTTATTTTCTGATTTTTTTTGCCAATATGTAAGACAGAGCATTTATTTGTTGAGATTTGAAGTTGCCATTTGATTGACCATTCTGATACATGGTCAAGGTCTTTTTGAAGGGTAGCAGTATTGTCTGCGGTGTTGAATAGCTTTACATCATCAGTGAAGAGAACGCAGATGCTCTTGATATGATCACAGAGGTCACTTATGTAGAGTAAGAAAAGAGTTGGTCCTAGAACACTGCCTTAGGACAGGTACAGAATTTAATAGGACGCTCCCAATTTTGACCATTTGTTGTCTGTGTTAAGCCTGGATTCCCCAACGGGTGTTAAGGAAAACAAACTAAACAGAACGTGCAGCGAAGTCAGATAGGAAGACAGGTAAATGTGTGAGATAAGTTTTCTAGTTAACACGCAGTAAAAATACAGATACGCTTGTGCTATCAAAAATTATAATTTATTTCATTTAAGAATTATAGCATAGTCATTATAAACAGTCCATTAGTCAAATACCAAATTCAGTCAAGTCTTGTCGAGGATACTCTAATTGCAAAGTCCGTGTCGAATAGTACACATATAATAAATCAGTACACATATAATAAATCTGTCCAAAACTTATCTTCTCTCCGTTGAGAAATATCTTCAAAGTAATCCAACACTTCTTCTCCTCCCCGATCCAGCAAGAATGCAGTCTTCAATAAGCCAGCCAGAGAGAGCCAGAGAGTGCCTTGCTGCTTATATAGTACTTTTACAGCTGCA